TGGGCAGAAGCCAGGGTCAAATTACGGAGGCAGGGCAGCAATGGATTCTTTTCCTTAACTATTTCTCTTTCTCCTGTTTTCCTCTTTAGCACTAAGCCAAACCCTAACCAGATTATTTCTGTGGGTTCAAAACCTGGTATGAATGGGGCTGGATTCCAGAAGGGCTTGACTTGTGAGAGCTGCCACAGTGAGTTCCAGGGGGGACAGGGTGTGGGGGGTGGCTGGGAGGCCTGCTGTGGCCCAAGAACCTCAGGGACTTGGGTAGCGTGTTTTGTCCCTGACCTCCTCTCTGGGTCCTTACAGCCACACAGTCTGCCCAGTGGTATGCCTGGGGCCCACCCAACATGCAGTGCCGGCTCTGTGCTTCCTGTTGGATCTACTGGAAGAAGTATGGGGGACTGAAGACCCCAACCCAGCTTGAGGGGGCTGCGCGGGGCACCACAGTAAGGATTGATGGGGTACAGGCAAGGGCCAGCAATATACATGCTGATGGGAGCTTTAGACCATATTATGCAGCTGTTCATATGATGATGGTTTGATTGGCAGGGGGTGATTGACAGTGTTGGGGAGCCAGGTGGGTTGAGTGTGAATGAATTACTGAGATCAGGCAAGAAAAAATTTCCTGTGCAGGAAATGGAAGGAAGAAAGGAGTCTCAGGGCTGACCTGTCTTCTCCCTTTTTCCTATTTTCTCCAGGAGCCACACTCAAGGGGTCATTTGTCCAGACCTGAAGCCCAAAGTCTCTCCCCCTATACAACCAGCGCCAACCGGGCCAAGCTGCTGGCTAAGAACAGGCAAACTTTCCTGCTGCAGACCACGAAGCTGACCCGTCTTGCCAGACGCATGTGCAGGGACCTGTTACAGCCAAGGAGGGCTGCTCGCCGACCCTATGCCCCTATCAATGCCAATGCCATCAAGGCAGAGTGTAAGGGCAGGAGTGGTGGGGCTGGGGTGCGTTCAGGGTGTCTCTGGATGTTACTGACAGTGGGGGAAGTAGGCCACAGGAGCATGTTTAGTAGATATGACTGCCGGCCTGAGAAGAAGCCTGGACAGGGAAGCCCCTCAGGAGCTGTCGTCTTTGCTCTCCAGGCTCTATCCGACTTCCGAAGGCCGCCAAGACCCCCCTGAAGATTCACCCTCTGGTGCGGCTGCCCCTGGCGACTATCGTCAAAGATCTGGGTATGGGATGGGGAACCAGACTGGAGATCGAGGGTGGTCATGGATCGGGAACCAGTTGGGCAGGTGTCAGGCTCCCGGTTCTTTTACTACTAAAAATCTCTCCCTGTGCTTTTTCCGTTCTCGCTGAGTCCCAGGAGATTTAGTCTGACTACTTTTGTGGGTTGTTTCTCATAAGCTGTCCAGTATTACCTGGTTTGATCAGATCATGCTTGTGATTTTTTTCTGAAACACTGTTCCCCCACCCCTGCTTTTGGGGCTGCCTGAGAAACTGCTGTCTCAGAGAAAAGCAATGGAGGTGAGAAAGAGGAGAAAGTGCAAAAGTTCTATATGCCTTCTCTTTTTTTTGCCTCTGGCAGTGGCCCAGGCGCCTTTGAAACCAAAAACACCTCGGGGCACCAAGACACCGATCAACAGAAACCAGCTGACCCAGAACCGGGGACTGGGGGGCATCATGGTGAAACGGGCCTATGAGACTGTGAGTTGGCAGACCGGTGGGCCACGCTGAGGTGGGTGGGCTTTTGTCTCTGAGAGGGTTCCCTGCCTCACTGTGCCACCCCACCCTTTTTCAGATGGCGGGGGCAGGGGTACCCTTCTCTGCCAATGGAAGGCCTCTGGCTTCAGGGATTCGCTCAAGCTCACAGCCAGCAGCCAAGCGTCAGAAACTAAACCCCGCAGATGCCCCCAATCCTGTGGTGTTTGTGGCCACGAAAGATACCAGGTAGGTATTCACTGTGGGAGGAGCTGCGAGGGGACAGTCCAGGATGGTGGAAGTGGGAACCAGAGCCATCTGAGCCACACCGGCTCCACGAAGATGGTGGGAGCAGGGTGGGGATGCCAGAGAGGGATGGGCCGGGAGGCAGCACTGCAGTGTGGAAGGTGGGCTTTTCACCTGGCAGTCTTACACCCTTTCTGTTCTCTTTCTCTGGCCAGAGCTTTGAGGAAGGCTCTGACTCACTTGGAAATGCGGCGAGCTGCCCGCAGGCCCAACTTGCCCCTGAAGGTGAAGCCAACGCTGATTGCAGTTCGGCCTCCTGTTTCTCTACCTGCACCCTCACATCCTGCCAGCACCAATGAGCCCATTGTTCTGGAGGACTGAGCGTCTGTGGGAAAGGGAGGTGGGCTGAGAGGTAGAGGGGGTGCCCAGGGCACCCAAACCTCCCTCCTTTAGAATCAAAAGGAGTGAGGAGGGAGGGAGGGAGGGAGGAGGGGATGGAAGGAGCAAGTGAGTGTGTGTCCCCGAGGGGTTGAGCGCCCTCTGGTGTTAGCACCTCATGACTTGTCCCCTTCCGGTGCTTCTCCACGCTTGGTGATGGAGGGCCCACGCAGGGACTTGGCCCATGTGGGATCCTAGCCTGTTTTGGGGGATAGGACCCACAGTTGTCTTGGACAGGTTTGGGGGGAGGGTTTTTTAATTTTTTAAAAATTTTGCCTCCCTTTGTGAAAGGGATGGGGGAGGGGAAGAGTAAACATGTATCAGGTGGTGATACCTGGTTGCGGGAGGGGGGCGTGCACTGCCATGTCTATCTTTTTTTTTTTCCTAATTGGGGGTTTCTCTTCCTGTCCGGTGTCCGGACTTTCCTAATTGGAGTTTGAAGCCCCAAAGCTGGCATCAACCTCAGCCCATGCTTGCTCTTTCCTTCCCCCCTCCCCCCTCCGCCTTTTGTATGCCAATTCTCAGAAATAAAGATCTTTTGTCCATTTTTTTAACCTTGGATTCTGTAATTGGTTCTTATAGTAACAAATAAAAAGCTGTTTTCTTCAGCTCTTCCTGGCTCAGCTGTTCTCTGCCATGGGTGGGTGTGTGTGTGTGTTGGTGGGTATCTTTGAGAAGGAAAATAAAGGACAATTAACGAGATACAGATGGTGTTTGCCCTGGGAACAGCTATATGAGATACCCAGCCTGGACTGAGGTAGCCTCTTCTGGCTACCCTTCTTGTGGGGACCACACTGCACCCCAGCTCCCAGTGGGCTGGAACCCAAGCACCATCTTGGCCCAGATCCACTCAAAACAGTTGGGAAGAGCTGGCTTTCTGGGTGGCTGGTGGCCTCCATAGGAGGGGGCACAAGGGTGCTTCTCCCTCTACTTCTGAATTCTTACTCCCCTCATCCTTAGGAGTTGCCCCCAGCCAGGGTAAGCTGTGGGGGTGGTTAGCAGGATCCTGTCCTTTCTGTGTGGTCTATTTGCACAGCTGCTGTTTCCAGATCCTCAAGTCCAGCCTCCCCAGCTTCTTGGGTGTCAGGGTCCACTGTCGTGGTGTTTCCTGTCCTTTTATGGTTTGGAAGACAGACACCTGGGGCCCAACAGCAGCAACACCTTAGGAGAGAGAACAAGAAGTTGCGCCTACTATGTGCTCCTTGGACACTTCCCTTAGAGATGCAGAACAGCCTCAGTAGTTGGGACTTGCTCAGGGTCACTACTTTTTACAAGATGCAGAGCTGCAGGCTGTTAAGCACAGCACAAGCTGCTTAGCTCTTTTTTTTTTTCTTTTTATTTTTTTAAGATTTATTTTATTTACTTGAAAGGCAGAGTTTCAGAGAGGGAGAGCGAGTGATCTTCCTTCTGCTGGTTCACTCCCTAATAGACTGCAATGACAGGGCCTGTTCCAGGCTGAAGCCAGGAGCCTGGAGATTCCCCCGGGTCTCCCACGTGGGTGCAGGAGTCCAAGGACTTGGACCATCCTCTGCTGCTTTCCCAGGCACATTAGCAGGGAGCTGCCCATAGGGGATGTTGGCGCTGCCGCTAGGCCACAGCACCGGCCCCTGCTTAGCCCATCTGGTAGTCCTCTCCACCTCGTGGTCCCTGTCCTTAGGGCGTCCGCAGCTCCCTCCTTCCCTGGCTGTCTGGAGCTTACACCTCCTGGTGCTGAGTGGACCGACCCCTGTTCTGTTCAGGGGTCTTTTGTCCTCCAGCGTCCTTACTCAGCTGCCCCCCTAGTCGGTTCTGTCCCACTTCCGAAGTGGGCTCTGACGCCTCCTGAGCACCCTGCACACAGCCCACTAACGGCGCAAGGAGCAAGCCCGGCTCGCTGGGACCGCAGCGATCTGGCCGTTGGTTCGCGGAGTCCGGAAAGTGTCCAGTGCGGGCGGAGCCCCTCAACCGGGGCTAGAAAGCAGTCGTGGGACCTTCGTTTTGCGGGAGGAGCCGGGGTGGAGGGAGAGAAGAAAGGCCCTGAAGGGGCTGGCAGTCCTGGGACAGCCCTGGAGTCAGCGGAGGTAAAGACGGGACTGAGGGGACAGCTGCGGGAGTCTCTGCTACTGCCCGGTGGAGAAGCGCGCGGCGCAGCCGGCCCGCGACCACTGGCCAAGAGGTGACTGGCCGCCGGTCGGGGAGCCAGCCTGACGCAAGCCGCCGCCTACCTTTGTGGCTGCTGTTTTGAATATTCACGATCCTTTGGGCCAATCAACGCCTGAGTAGCTCGGAGCTCGCCAATCGGCTTACCGCCTGCCGATGAGCGTCGTCGCCGGGCGGCTTTTTCCCCACCCCGGACTGGAAACGGAACCAGGAGTGGAAGGAGCTCGGTTTCTGGGGGAGTGTGCTCCTCGCGATTGACCGTCACTTCCCATCCGGTTGGCGGAAGTGGCTTGCGAGCGCGCTGGGAACCGGCGAAGCGGATCCGGCGGTGGCGGAGGCGGAGGCGGAGGCGGAGGCGGATCCGGCGGTGTTCCGTCGGCGCCGGAGGGTCGCGATGGCGGCGGTGGATTCGGATGTCGAATCGCTGCCGCGCGGGGGTTTCCGCTGCTGCCTCTGCCACATTACTACAGCCAACCGTAAGCGGTGGCTAGTGAGGGTGGTGGTGGTGGTGGTGGTGGGCTTCTGCCTGTGGGTCCTAGCCAAAGTTAGGGTAGTGTAGACCATAGTTCCTCTGCAGTCAGCGGTAGGGTCGCTCACCCCCTTTTTCACTCTGCACGTCCGAGAGAATTGGAGAGCCGGGGACGGCTCCACCACGCTACACCCTTCTTTCCCAGTATAGGAAATCGCGCCGAAAGTTTCCCCGAACGTCTGCCCTGTGCCTGGTACTCTGCTGGGCTCTAAGGGGTGGGTGAGTGGGGAGAGGTGGTTCACTACCCAGAGACGGACGAACTCAGTGCTCCGCAGGTATGTTTGGAGAGCTGCGGGGTCACAGACAGGGCGGTGATTGAGTCTGGGAAGCCCTAGAGGGGACCCACCCAACGGCGGGATGGGCGAACCAGCATGGCACGAATAACTGGAGAAGAGGTACCGGTGGGGAAGAGGCAGGAGGTGGGGTTGGCAAGGTAGACAGCGTCCTTGTATGATGGCGCAAGGGGCGCCGGGAGACCTCAAATTGTACCTGAAGTATGAGTCAGAGCTAACCTAAACAAGGTCTTCATTTTCTTTGTGAATGGTACTACCACTGTTTGTCCAGTAAGGCAAGGTAGAAACCCAGGTCTTCTCTGGCCCCACCTGCTTCGGTGACAGCAAGCAGCTGATTCATAATAAACATAGCAGCTTATTCCCCCACATTTACCATGTACCAGACTCTGCCAAGCACTGCATATGAATAACACCCGTGTAGTAGGTACTATTATTGTCTCCATTTTACATCTTGGGAAACTGATGAGCAAGGCATTAACGCCTCAGCTTGACAGCTTGGATTTGAACTTGAGCCGTGTGATTTCAGATCCTGCACTTGCAATCACTGTAACATGCCCAGAGACAATCCAGGAGGATCCTTCAGCCATTAGTTCTTCTAAATAGGGCCTGAAGGAGTTACCTGTCAATTTTTATTTATTTATTTTTTCCCTTTTGCTGGTGTTGCTTTACCTTGGCATATATATGGTTTAAGAACTAGTGATAATGTATCTGGTTCCCTTGGAAACCATTTAAAGGATGCATGATACAGACAAATGGACAAGAGAGAACTGTGAAAGCAGCTGGGGCTTTGTTATTCACAGGCCACACTGTGGCTTGGAAAGATGGTAGGATTTACACAGGCAGAGAGCAAAGGCAGGAGGGCAGGTGCTGATAGTGAATCGTATGTGTGTGTCTCTCACTTGTCTTGCAGGACCCAGCTTAGAAGCCCATTTGGGAGGCCGGAAGCACCGGCACCTGGTAGAACTACGAGCTGCCAGAAAGGCCCAGGGACTTCGAAGTGTGTTTGTCAGTGGATTTCCCAGGGATGTGGATTCTGCTCAGCTCTCTGAGTACTTCCAGGCATTTGGACCTGTGGCCAGTATCGTCATGGACAAGGACAAGGTAGAGAGAGTGACTCTAGGGTTTAAGAATGAATCAGGTGTGCCACATACCGAGAGGGACAAGAGAGAGAAACCAGCAGCCTGTTTGGACTGCTTCCTGATGTGACCTTGTCTTGGTGGACACCATTGGGCTACTTTGACTTGATGAGCTTCTCCTACCTTCACATCCTGCTCCCTGCCCCTGGGTTTTATTTCATCAGGGTTGGTCACTGGGGGACTTGTCTGTCATCTACTTCTTCAGCTAATGTTTTGTTCAGCAATTAGTTATTCATTGCTAACTTTTAGTAGGCACTGTCTCAGGGCTGCATTCTGAGTAGTGAATGGGATAGATGTGGGCCTGCTCACATGAACGTCCAGTCTAGGTGAGAAAGTAGATAGTTCAGTGGGTAATTATAGTGAACGTTGGTGCTTAAACACAGCATTACCAATGGAGGATCAAATGCACAAGAAGCCAGCTCATAAACTGGTTGGCAGCTTATTAACTTACATTAATAGGTACTGAGGTTATGAGGTCAGAGCTCTGTCTCAGACAGTGTTCATTTTTTGTGGTTCTTTTTGTCTTGATTCCCTGATTTAAAAAAATGGTTATTTTTTATCTACTTGAAAGGCAAAAAAGAGATAAAAGAGAGATTTTCCATCTGCTGGTTTACTCTCCAAATATCTACCAGAGCTGGACTTCGCTAAAGTCAGGAGCCAGGAGTTCTATTCGGGTCTCCCGCATGGGTGGCGGGGCTCAAACACTTGAGCCATCATCTGCTGCCTCCCAGGGTGCATTAGCAGGAAGCTGGATCTGAAGTGGAGCAGCTGGAGCTTGAAGCAGTCACTCTGATGTGGGATGTGGGAGTCCCAAGCACAGGCCTAACTCTATATGCCAGGTGGACCTTTTCATTACTGTACCTTTAGTTATCTGAAAAAAACTCACTGTTGTGTTGTTGGTCACATTGTGATTCTGAGGCTGCACTGTGGGTATGTAGGTGTGGCTTGGGTGATCCCAAATATCCTTAAGCAGCCTAGGCCCTTCTTTTAGGTTCGGGGTGGGTGGGCTGGTTTTTGTTAGGACTGTATTGAGTAACTCTACTACAAATGGCTTAAAAATAATCTAGCTTTTCTCATGTAACCAATAATCCAGACCTTGGAAGTCCTGGGTTGTGCAGTTTTCCTGCTGCTCTGTCATTATTATTGGCCCACGGTTCTTACCTCATAGTTGTGCAACTGCTGCTTACCCATCTTTAGGCCGAAGGAGGCAGGTTGAAGAGTATGATGTAGAAGGCCAGTGCCAGCTGAGTGTAACTCCCACTTTTTTTTTTTTTTTAATTTCTGAGGAAAAACTTTCTCCAGAGGGCTTTTCCCCGTGTTATAGGCAAGCTTGGGAAATTAAGCATTTTTAGCGGGCAGTTTGCCTCTCAGCAAAATCAGGGTTTTGTTAGTAAGGAGGAAATGAGAACGTGTATTTGATGGGTACTTGGCAGTGTCTGCCCCAGGTTACTTCTTTGGGAAGTTCAGTGACCTTGTGTTTGTTGATAACTTATTTAATTTGCAATTAATGATCTTGTCCTGAAGTTAAACCTCAAATTTCTGAGGGTTCTAATTATTATAACAATGATGATTAAAATTTTTCCATAATTACTATGCACCAATTATGTACTAAGTATTTTACACACACTATCTCATTTAATTTTCACCATTCTTGAAAAAAAAAATCATCAGTGAGAAGTTGGGCATTTGGAAGTTTAAGGTCTTACTTAGGGGGGCCAGCGCTGTGGCGCAGTGGGTTAAAGCCCTGTCCTGAAGCGCTGGCATCCCATGTGGGTGCCGATTCTAGTCCCGGCTGCTCTTCTTCCCATCCAGCTCTCTGCTATGGCCTGGAATAGCAGATGGCCCAAGTCGTTGGGCCCCTGCACCTGCGTGGGAGACCCAAAGAAGCTCCTGGCTCCTGGCTTTGGATCAGCTCAGTTCCAGCCATTGCGGCCATCTGTGGTGTGAACCAGCAGATGGAAGACCTTTCTCTCTGTCTCTACCTCTCTCTGTAACTCTGTCTTTCAAATAAATAAATCTTTTTAAAACAAAAAAGATCCTACTTAGGAAGCAGTGACAAGTACTTAGTGTCTTGGAGTTAATTTCCTAACTTGTAAAATGAAAATAACAATATATATATATTTTTAAGATTTATTTATTTATTTGAAAGTCAGAGCTACACAGAGAGAGGAGAGGCAGAGAGAGAGAGAGGTCCTCCACCTGATGGTTCACTCCCCAGTTGGCCGCAATGGCCGGACCCGTGCTGATCCGAAGCCAGGAGCCAGGAGCTTCTTCCAGGTCTCCCATGGGGGTGCAGGGGCCCAAGGACTTTGGCCACAGCAGAGAGCCAGATCGGAAGTCGAGCAGCCAGGTCTCGAACCGGCACCCACATGGAATGCCGGTGCCCTAGGCCAGGGCATTAACCTGCTATGCCACAGCACCGACACCAACAATATATACCTTATAGGAGGCTGAGGAGCCTTTGAGATAGTTTATGTGAACTTCTGGCTTTATAATGAGCATTCAACGAATGGTAGCTCTAGCTGAGGCAGGTGGTGTTGAGAGGAGAAGAATGTTGAGGGCAGTTGCTTCTGGGTCTGCTAATTCTGGCTTCCCTGATGCTGTCAGGTTCTTGAGAGAAAGGTGCACAAGGACAAGGATAGGCAAAGGGACAGCTAATTTCTTTCTTATTTTTTTTTAAAAAGATTTATTTATTTATTTGAAAAAGAGATCTTCCATCTGCTGGTTGATTCCCCCGAATGGCCGCAACAGCCAGGTCTATGTCAAGCCAAAGGCAGGAGCCAGGAACTCCATCTAGGTTTCCCACAAGTAGTCGGGCCATCTTCTGCAGCCTTTCTTGACAGGTTAGCAGGAAGCTGGATCAGAATTAGAGCAGCCATGGCTTGAAACAAGCACTCCAGTATGGGAAGCCTTTTGCAAGTTGGGGCCATAACCCGCTGGGCCACCACATCAGCCCTGACACCTAGTTTCTAGCTGGAGCTTTGGTTGCAAACTTGATGCTGAAGTGCAGGCTGGTGATTCTGCTAAGACTTGCCTAGGCAGGTCCAAAGAGTGGTTTGTCCTTGGCTTCACTTTCGTTCTTTGCTCTGACATAAGGGTAGATGTAAGTGTAGGGTTGGTAGCTTTCCTTTCTTAAAAATTTGAGAATCTTACACAGCATAAAATATACAGTTCAGTGAGCAGGCATTGTGATGCAGAGGGTTAATCTGCTGATTGGGACACCTGTATCCCATGTCAGAGTACTGGTTCACATTCTGCCTGCTCTGCTTCCAGTCCACTGCTTCTCCCTGCTAATGCTTCTGGGAAAGCAGTGGAAGGTGGCCTGACTGCTTGGGCCTCTGCCACCCATGTGGGTGACCTGGATGGAGCTCCAGACTCCTGGCTTCGGCCCGGCCCAAGCCTTGGCTGTTGCAGCCATTTTGGGGTAAAGCAGTAGATGGAAGATCTCCCTCTGCCTTTCAAAAAATAATAAAAAATAAACTTTTTTTTTTAGAAAACAAAAGTTAAGGCCGGCGCCGCGGCTCACTAGGCTAATCCTCCGCCTAGCGGCGCCGGCACACCGGGTTCTAGTCCCGGTCGGGGCGCCGGATTCTGTCCCGGTTGCCCCTCTTCCAGGCCAGCCCTCTGCTGTGGCTAGGGAGTGCAGTGGAGGATGGCCCAGGTGCTTGGGCCCTGCACCCCATGGGAGACCAGGAAAAGCACCTGGCTCCTGGCTCCTGCCATCGGATCAGCGCGGTGCGCCGGCCGCAGCGCGCCGGCCGCGGCGGCCATTGGAGGGTGAACCAACGGCAAAGGAAGACCTTTCTCTCTGTCTCTCTCTCTCACTGTCCACTCTGCCTGTCAAAAAAAAAAAAAAAAAAAAAAAAAAAAAAAAAAAAGGAGCATTAGAAAACAAAAGTTAGGGAGTAGATATTAGTATCTCCTGTGAAATGATAAAACTGGGAAGAGTAGGGGATGATAAAATAGGCAAAATGGGATTTTCAGAGGCAGATTAGGGTGACAGAAATGTGTTGGTTAAGAGTGAGGGAGAGAATTGTTTTTCTTTTTTTAAAATTTATTTATTTGAAAGGCAGAGTTACAGAGAGGTAGAAAGAGAGAGGAGAGGAGAGAGAGAGAGGGGTCTTCTAGCCGCTGTTTCACTCCCCAAAAACCCTAATGGCTGGAGCTGGGCCAATCCAAAGCCAGCTTCTTTTGGGTCTCCCATGCAGGGGCCCAAGGACTTGGACCATCTTCTACTGTTTTCCCAGGCCATAGCAGAGAGCTGGATTGGAAGTGGAGCAGCCGGGACTTGAGCTAGTGCCCAGAGGGGATGGTAGCACTGTAGCAGCGGCTTTACCCATTGTACCACAGCTCGGCCCTGAGAGAATTGCTTTTCTAAATATGTTCCCTATTAATGAAAGCATCATCAAGATAGTATTCCCATGTATGAGGTATTCCACTGCTGCACCACAGGTTTGAATTTTTGGTCCAAACCGTCATGCTTTCTCTGCTAGGGAGTGTTTGCCATCGTGGAGATGGGGGACGTGAGTGCTCGGGAGGCTGTATTGTCACAGTCCCAGCACAGCCTGGGAGGACACCGCCTGCGCGTCCGGCCACGGGAGCAGAAGGAGTTCCAGAGCCCAGCCTCCAAATCCCCCAAGGGAGCAGCCCCTGACAGTCAGCACCTGGCCAAGGCACTGGCTGAAGCCCCAGATGTGGGGGCACAGATGGTAAAGCTCGTGGGGCTGAGGGAGCTGTCTGAGGCCGAGCGACAGCTTCGGAGCCTGGTGGTGGCCCTGATGCAGGAGGTTTTCACGGAGTTCTTCCCGGGTAAGTCACCTCCGCGACTGTGTCCGAAGCCTCCTGTCCTTCCCTCCTCAGTGTCTGCATCCCGGTGTCACAGCTGGAGGTGTTTACCTGACTGCTCTTCCTCCTGGGCACTCCTTTATGGTCTTCCACCCCTGCTCCTCCCTAATGTTTCTTGACCTTTATTCTCTGCTCGGCACCCAGGCTGTGTGGTCCATCCTTTTGGCTCTTCCATAAACAGCTTTGATGTCCATGGCTGTGATCTTGACCTGTTCTTGGATCTGGGTGACATGGAAGAACCTCAGGTGAGTGACGAGGGGGCAGCTGGGAAGAGGCAGTGAGAATGGTCATGTGACAGTGGGCCTTAGTTTCTCATCTGCAAAATGGGTATAATAGGACCTCTCTGAAAAGGTTATTGCAATTGGAGGAATGTGAATATGGTTAGGCATTAGTTAGGATGAAAATGAATTGACACAGAATAGATGACAGTTATAAGAAGAAATCTGCCTCTGAAAATCTCATTTTCTCTATTTTATTGTCTCCGTCATTTCATAGGTTGTACTATGATGTACCACGTTTCTTTCTTTTTTTTTTTTTTTTTAAAGATTTATTTATTTTGGGTCTGGTGCTGTAGTGTAGTAGGCTAAGCCTCTGCTTGTGGTGCAGGCATCCTGTATGGGCACCGGTTTGTGTCCTAGTGGCTCTTCTGATCCAGCTCTTTGCTGATGGCTTGGGAAAGCAGTGGAAGATGGCCCAAGTGCTTGGGCCCCTGCACCCACGTGGGAAACCCAGAAGAAGCTCCTAGCTCCTGGCTTTGGATTCGGCCGGCTCTGGCCATTGTGGCCGTTTGGGGAGTAAACCAGTGGATGGAAGACCTTTCTCTCTGTCTATAACTCTACCTTTCAAATAAATAAAGAGTTACATAGCCAAAGATCTTCTAACCACTGGTTCACTCCTCAGATGACAACAGCCAGTGCTGAGACAGGCTGAAGCCAGGAGTCAGGAGCTTTATCCAAGTCTCCTACATGGGTGGCAGGGGCCCAACCACTTGGGCCATCCTCCGCTGCTCTTCCCAGGCCATTTGCAGGGAGGTGGATCAGAAGTAGAGCAGCCAGAAGATAAATAGGTACCCATGTGAGATGTCAGTGTGGGAGACAGTAGCTTTACCCTCTATGCTACAATGCTTGCTCCTGTTTCTTTTAAAACATGTTTGTTTATTCATTTTTATTTATTTTAAACAGCAATTTCAAAGTGGTATATACACTATCTTATTTTGGAAAAAAATATATAGTAAAAGGATACACAATAAGGTGATTTAGGAGTTTTTTTTTTTTTTAAGGTTTTATTATTTGAGAGGTAGAGCTACAGACAGATGGAGAGACAGAGAGAAAGGCTTTCCATACACTGGTTCACTCCCCAAAAATGCCCTCAATGGCCGGAGTTGGGCTGGTCAGGAGCTAGGAGCTAGGAGTCAGGAGCTTCTTCTGGGTCTCTCACATAGGTAAAGGGGCTCAAGCACTTGGGCTGTCTTTCACTGCTTTCCCAGGCCACAAGCAGAGAGCTGGATCGGAAGTGGAGCAGCCAGGACATGAACCAGTGTCTGTATGGGATGCTGGTGCTGCAGGCAGAGACCTAGCTTGGTGTACCATAGTGCTGGCCCCGGGAATTATTTTAAATTTATTTTTATAATAATTATTTTTTCCTTCAAAGATTCATTTATATGTCTGAAAGAGAGAGAGAGAGATCTTCCATCCACTGGTTCACTCCTCAAATGGTTGCAATGGTCAGGGTGGGGCCAGGTTGAAGCCAGGATCCATCACGTCTCCCACATGGGTGCAGGGACTCGAGGACTTGGGCCATCTTCCTCTGCCTTCTCTGGGTGCATTAGCAGGAGCTAGATGGGAGGCAGAGCAGCCGGGACATAAACTGGCACCCATATGGGATGCAGGTACTGCAGACAGCAGCTTAACCCACTGTGCCACAGCACTGAACTCTGTTTTATTTTTTAAAGATTTATTTTATGTATTTGAAAGGCAGAGTGACAGAAAGAGGGAAAGGCAGAGAAAGATCTCCCACTTATTGGTTCACTCAACAAATGGGCCAGGCTGAAGCCAGGAGCCAGGAACTTCATCTGGGTCTCCCACATGGGTGGTAAGGACCCAAGTACTTGGGTCATTTTCCACTGCTTTCTCAGGTGCATTAGCGAGAAGCTGGATCGAAAGCAGAGTAGTTAGAACTCCAAGCTGTACTCAGATATGGGATGCAGGCCTCCTAAGCAGCTAGTTTAACTCATGGTGCCACAGTGACTATCCCTACTTAACTGTATTTTCTTCTAAGATCAGATGAAATCAGGCACATTCAGGGTGGTATGGCCATAGAGAACCTGTATTTTCTAGCATGTAATGTACAGATTGTCTTTGGAATAGGAAAGGTTTATTATTTTTTAAAATAGTCTTTATTTTTTAGAGCAATTTTAGATTCACAGAAAACTGAGCAGAAAGTGAAGTTCCATAGACCTTCTGCCCCAACAAAAGGTGTTATTTTTTTTAAAAAGACATTTGTTTTGTCATTCTCTGTATACGTGCATGCACACACACATTGTCCTTTATGAATCATTTGAGAGGTTGCATTATAACGTATAACCTAAGAATCAAAGCGTTCTAGTGTGTTACGACAGTGTAGTTATCAAGTGGGGGAGATAATACACTGGCTCAAGTGTACAACTTTCCAAGACTACAGTGCATACGCAACTGTGTCAGCTGTCCCAGCAGTGGACTGCTGTGTCTTTTTAGTCTTCATAATCTGTAGTAGTTCCTCTGCCTTTCTTTGTCTTTTGTGACAATGACATTTTTGCAGAATATAAACCATTTATGAGATTAAAGGTTATCTTAAGAAAGGGTTGCTGTTGCGTGGGTATTTGCCATAGCAGTTAAGGAAACACTTAGGATGCCTGCATCTCATATTGCAGTACCTGTGTTCAAGTCCTAGCTCCACTTCCAAGTCCAACTTCTTCTTCTTCTTCTTCTTTTTTTTTTTTTTGACAGGCAGAGTGGACAGTGAGAGAGAGAGACAGAGAGAAAGGTCTTCCTTTGCCGTTGGTTCACCCTCCAATGGCCGCCGCGGCCAGTGCGCTGCGGCCGGCGCACCGCGCTGATCCGATGGCAGGAGCCAGGAGCCAGGTGCTTTTCCTGGTCTCCCATTGGGTGCAGGGCCCAAGCACCTGGGCCATCCTCCACTGCACTCCCGGGCCACAGCAGAGGGCTGGCCTGGAAGAGGGGCAACCGGGACAGAATCCGGGGCCCTGACCGGGACTAGAACCCGGTCTGCCGGCGCCACAAGGCGGAGGATTACTTCTTCTTCTTTTTTTTTTTAAAGATTTATTTATTTATTTGAAAGGCAAAGTTACAGAGAGAGTGCTCTGTCTGCTCCTCATTTGGGCCACAATAGTTGGGGCTGGGCCAGGCTGAAGCCAGAACTTCATCTGGGTCTCTCACATGGGTGCAAGGGGCTCAACTACTTTGGCTACCTGTCACTGCTTTCCCAGATCCATTAGCAGGGAGCTGGATTCGAAGTGGAGCAGCTGAAACTCCCAACTGGTGCCTGTGTGGGGTGCCGACATCACAGGCAGTGGCTTTACCTACTACACCACAACGCCAGCCTCTTGGGTAGAGTTCTTGGTTCCTGGCTTCAGCCTGGCACAGTCCTGGCTATTGCAGCCATTTGAGGAGTGTACCAGTGGAGGGAAGAGCTCTGACTCTCTGTCTCTCCCTCCCTCGCTGTACTCTGCCTAATAAGTAGTAATATTTAGTATCTTGGGGATGGGGATGTCAGTAGACAGCAGGAGGGGCATTCATTCAGCTCTCTTGTCCACAGCCAGTCCCAAAGACTCCAGAATCTCCATCCCTGGACTCAGCCCTTGCTTCCCCACTGGATCCTCAAGCCCTGGCCTGCACCCCGGCCTCTCCTCCAGACTCTCCACCTCCGAATTCTCCCCAGGATTCTGAAGCTCTGGACTTTGAAATGCCTTCCTCTTCCCTGGCGCCCCAGACTCCGGACTCTGCTTTGGCCTCCGAGACCCTCGCCTCTCCCCAGTCCCTGTCTCCAGCCTCACCACCACAGGAGGACAGGGGCGAGGGGGACCTGGGGAAGGCCCTGGAACTAGCAGAATCCCTAAAGGGAGAGAAAACAGAGGGGGCAGCAATGCTGGAGCTGGTGGGATCCATTCTCCGGGGGTGTGTCCCTGGGGTGTACCGAGTCCAGACTGTGCCCTCTGCCCGGCGCCCTGTGGTCAAGTTTTGCCATCGGCCTTCAGGACTCCATGGTGACGTCTCCCTCAGTAATCGGTACCTTTGTCTTGGGGAGGTTGTGGTTGGGGAAGGCCAGTGGAGAATTCTGGGGTGTATGAGTAGTGGGAAGCTCCTCTCCCTGTGCAGTCTTGAGTGTTTTCTTGTTTGTTCCCATCCTTTCTGCCACTTATCTTCTCCTATCTGGCTTCTGTTCAATGTTTGCAAAGTGCATTCTTTGGAATGCTATTTTTTAAGGGATGCAGAAAAGAGTTCATGGCTGAATAAATTCGGGCAATGCTAAGTTAAATGCAGATAGGTTTCTCCTTCCCCTCTCTCTTCCCTTTCTATTCTTCCATTTTTCTTTCTTTTCCTTCCTTTTGCTTGTTAAAGGGTCTGAGCAGTCGCACGCTCCATGAATGTCAGGGTAGGCAAAGAGCACGTAGTGCTTTCCAAGCTTATTTGACCTACTTTGCACATTCTCACAAGACCAGCATTTCAGCAATGCCTTGGGAAACCTGTGTTTGGTCTTATTCCAGCAGGCCTCAGTGACACAGGTCTGGAATGAGTACTGGGAGTAATGGGTTTCGAGAGTTCCTAAGCCCTAACGTGCAGTCTCCCCTTTATCCCAGGCTGGCCCTGCACAACTCTCGATTCCTGAGTCTCTGCTCTGAGCTGGATGAGCGAGTGCGGCCCCTGGTGTACACCATCCGCTGCTGGGCTCAGGGCAGAGGGCTGTCGGGTGAGTGTGAATTGGTGTCCAGATGAAGGCAGGGATTCAGAAGGAAAAGGGAGGAAGGTATGGGAACCAGGGCTGAGGAAACTGCCAAGGAGAGGCCCAGAGACACCTTTTGTCTAACTGGAATTCTTGATTATTTACCCAGGAAGTGGCCCCCTTCTCAATAACTACGCCTTGACCTTGCTCGTGATCTATTTCCTTCAGACCAGGGACCCTCCTGTGTTGCCCACTGTGTCTCAGCTCACTCAGAAAGCAGGTATTAAGGCCCAGCCTCTACCCTTCCTGCTTCATCAGCTTCATCTCTCTTCTTCATCGTAGCCAGATACACTATCTCTGGTGCATCCCCATTTCTAAGCCCGCCCCTAATCTTGCTGCTTCCAGATTGTCCCTTACCTCTTTCACTTTGACAGGTGAGGAGGAACAGGTAGAAGTTGATGGCTGGGACTGTAGCTTCCCCAGGGATGCCTCAAGACTGGAGCCCAGCGCCAATGTGGAACCCGTTGGTGAGTCTGGGGAGCCTGCATGAGGACTAGTAATGATGCTCCTCTCAATCATAGGTGACTTAGGTCACACTTACCGTGTGGCTGGCATGGTTTTCACAACAGCCCTGGGGTTGGCTAATATTGTCATTGCCATTTTACAGAGGAAGAAACCATGCCTTACAGCGATTAAGTGACTTGTCCAAGGTTACACTGTTAGCAAGGGCAAGAAGCAGCACTGGGGTCTGGGGAGGGAGGCGTGGCCCCTTGTTCACAGGGATCAGAGAAGTCTGGCTGCTTGGGACTCTTCTCAGGAAACGGCTCCCGTCAGGACCTGTGCGAGTCTCAATCCCAGCTCCGAAGTGACCTCTTATCCCCAATCTGCCTCCTTCAGGTTCCCTGCTAGCCCAGTTCTTCTCGTGCGTCTCTTCCTGGGATCTTCGTGGCTCACTGCTGTCCCTGAGGGAGGGTCAGGCACTGCCTGTGGCAGGGGGCCTGCCCTCTAACCTCTGGGAGGGTCTGCGCCTGGGCCCCATGAATCTCCAGGACCCCTTTGACCTGAGTCACAACGTTGCAGCCAACGTGACCAGCCGCGTGGCCGGGCGGCTGCAGAACTGCTGCCGAGCGGCAGCCAGTTACTGCCGAAGTCTCCAGTACCAGCACCGTTCCTCCCGGGGTCGGGACTGGGGTCTGCTCCCCCTTCTGCAGCCCAGCTCCCCAAGCTCCCTGCTGTCTGCGACGCCCATCCCCTTACCTCCTGCTCCCTTCCCCCAGCTCACTGCTGCCCTGGTCCAGGTGTTAAGGGAAGCACTGGGATGCCACATAGAACAGGGAACCAAGAGACCACGGTCAGAGGGAGGTGGGACTGAGGAGTCTCCCCAGGGAGGGACGAGCAAAAGGGTGAAACTAGATGCACAGAGGAGCTGTGAGGAGGGGCAAGAGGAGCAGCAAGGGCATGCAGGGGACCACAGTGAAGCTGGAGTGGAGGAGATGGTTATAGAGGCTGGAGAGACGGTGCAGGACTGGGTCATGCAGAGCCCTGGGCAGCCAGGGGAGCTGCCCCTGATGCCTGGAAAGCACCTGGCTGGGGGAGAAGGGCAGCGAGCTCTCACAGTACTAGCAGAGCAGAGGGCCAAGGGCCCTGAGGCAGCCCAAGAAGGGTCTCAGGGCGACACGGGGAAGGGGGCATCACTCCTCTCCTCAGTGAGCTGGCCCTGTGCCTTGTGGCACCGAGTGTGGCAGGGGCGGCGGCGTGCCCGGAGGCGCCTGCAGCAGCAAACCAAGGAAGCAGGTGGAGGTGGTGCTGGCACAGAAGCTGGGTGGCTGGCAACTGAGGCTCGGGTAACCCAGGAGCTGAGAGGACTGGGAAGTGAACCCAGGCTAGAAACTGACCCCCTCCTGACCTTCATCGTGTCTGCCTCCCAAGCTGACCAGACTCTCACTGTGACCCCTCTCCGGGATTCCCAGGGCCTGTTCCCTGACCTCTATCACTTCTTACAAGTTTTCCTCCCTCAAGCACTGCGAAATCTCCTCAAGTGAACATGGGCCATAGAGGGCAATAAAGCTGCTAGTTTAATACAAATACTCTCCAGTTTTCTCTGATTTTCTCCCGGTACTTTCCGCCTCCTTCTTGGGCTCTCCCACACCTTAATACAGCCCTCTCAGATCTGCCTTGTCTGACCCCGATCACCCCGGTCTTCCCACTTAGCACGGCCTGCAGGCACCTGGCAGAGTTCCCGAATGACCGTGCTTGCGGGCTTTGCAGCAAGTCTGCCTCCAGTGAGGCTGCTGCCCCGGGTTTACACGTGGTGTCAAAGCCGGAGATGTGGGTTCAGACCTCTTCCATTCTCGTTCTTCAACTGAGTAATAGATTTTCACACCGGAACATGGGTAAAAAGCAACCCAGCAGAATGCAGGCTCCGAAGCGGGTGGCAGGGCCCATGGCTGGGTTCTCCTGCGCCCCTGAACTGCTGCGGGTCAGAGGTCTGGTGTCCTTGTCGCAGTACCAGCATGCGGAGTTGCAAACTAGTGTCATGTGAGCGAACCTCACTCTGGCAGACGGTTTCAGACCCGAGCCCCTGTTACGTGTACATTCCTCTCTCAAGTCCAGAGCGGGAACAAAAGGAACCTCGCCAGCTCCCGCCTCCGCGCAGCTCTGGCTTCTCGGCCCCGTGAGCTTCGCGGGCGATGCGAGGGGCTGGCAGAACCTACCGTCAGGCCGCTTGCCGCAGGAAGGCGGGAGGGGTGCGCCTGCGGGAGCCGGCGCCGCACTGGGTGGGCCGCTGTGCCACGTAGCCGCGAAGGGGCGGCCCTGCTAGCCGGTTCTCACAGTTTCCCCGCCCCCGCCTCCCCCCCCCCGCCTTCTACCTCCACCTCGGGGCTCTGATTGGTCGGCTGCAGCAGAAGGGCCGGCCAGTCACAAGCCCAGCGCGCCGGCTGCGCGGCCCCTCAGGCCCCACCCCCTCCAACGCGGCTGGATACCGAACTGTCGTGCGTGTGCCTTCTATGCCGTCCTCGCTTTCCGGCTGCTGTTTCTCCACGGCTCTCCCCTTACCCCCTCCCTTTTCTCCCTGGCGGCTTACTTTGCGGCAGCGCTGAGAGCCCAACCCCCTTTCTCTGCGGAATCACCATGGCGGCCGGGGTAAGTTTGCCGGGTCTAGTGAGCCGGGTCACCTTATCCGCCGCCATCCTCTGTCTTAGTAGGGCCAGTCGGCGCCGGAGGCGTTCTGGAGCTGAGTGGGGGACCGATCCGGAGTTTACAGACCGTACTGTAGGAGAACGGAGGTCCTAGGGCCCGGAAGGGAACTGAGGCTGGGGCTCTCAGAGGCCAGAGGTGGAAGAGTCTGGGGTAGAGGAGCAATGAGATGCTGGATCTGGGCCGTCTGGAGCCTGACAGGGGGTTCAGCTTCATTGCTTCGTTGAGACGCGGGATCCGGGCAGGTTGGCGGAACTTTCGCGGCCGTTTTGTGGGGCAGCAGCGGGGGCAGAGCGAAGAGGAGGGTCTTTGTGGAGAGGCTCGGCTGGCATGGTTAGGGGTTGCCGCTCAGGGAGGCTTGGGGGAGCGAGGCATCTCTGGACGGTGAGGCCAGACCGGGTGGATGGATCCCTCTGGCCGGGCTCTCCGAGATGGCAGAAGCTGGGAACTCGCTGCGGGACGGGACGGGACGGGAGGGAAGGCGTGCGCGACTCGGCAAGAAAGGCTTTTTAGGGCAAGGAGTCGATTTAGGAAGAGGGCATGCTATTGGTTGTCTCGATGGCTATCCTGAGGGGAACTTGAAACGTCCGGATGTGTGTGCCTTGCAGAGGAGGTTGGCGGCTCTGAGGCAGTGATGAGCTCAGCGGTGGAGTAGGCAGGCACTGGGGAACCGTCAATGAATGAAACGCAGCCCCCGGGAAGGCAGGGGTGTAGGTTTGTAGGCAGACGGAGTCTCACGGAGGAAGTGCTGGGCTTCTTGGAGATAAATATGAGGGGAAGGAGAATGAGTGCTTCCCGAGATGTCCTTAGGGAAGGTCAGTTTGTCCCCGAGCTTTATTTAGCCGCTGATGCGTAGTTCTGTGCTTGGTGCTTCGGAGGACTCTGATTACATGTGGCAAGCACTAGGGAACCTGGTTTCCCTGAGGGAGTAAAAGTGAGCGGAACCGATTGTGATGGCTGAGGAAAGCCATGCTGGCATATGGCGCGCAGGCTGGGACCCCTCCTCACATTAATCTTTTCCCCTTTTCTTACATAGACCCTGTACACATACCCTGAAAACTGGAGGGCCTTTAAGGCCCTCATCGCTGCTCAGTACAGCGGGGCTCAGGTCCGCGTGCTCTCCGCACCCCCCCACTTCCACTTCGGCCAGACCAACCGAACCCCTGAATTTCTCCGCAAATTCCCTGCTGGCAAGGTGAGTAAGGAAGTGGTGAGGGGCTTTTGGACCTGGGACCCTTAGGAGCCCTGATTCCGTCACTCTGGGGATGGGCCTTATCTTTAAAAGACAGCTTCTCATGTTATTTTCTTTCACATTTCAGTGGTTAAGAACACTTTCTTAGATAATTGTAGTTGTGAAAAATAATAGCTCCTCAGTGACTTTATAAAACTGACAGGCATGCTTTATATTTCTGAGAAAGAGAATGAGTTTTGGCCAACTATTTCAGTGTGAGTATATAGATTATATATTGTGAGCAAGGTTTTTAATCCAAGGGGCTTACAGAGATAGGGAAATTACTTCACTAAGAGTGGAGGGATCAGGTGTATATGCGTAGGCCAGATACAGTGAGTGATACAGCAAACATGTATAACTTCGTTTCTAGCCCCTTCGTATTTGAAGACTTCTATACAAATACCTTATAATAACCAAATATTTTGGGTTTCTTAGTTTAGACATGGCAAATTCAGATTACAGGGGATACCAAGTTATCAAAGTCTGTTTGTTAGACGGTATTAAGAGTTTGGATTACAAGAATTGTCAGCCTTATGTAGACAGTTTTGTCCAAAGCAGTTCAGTTCCTGGGATTCGCTAATGAGATGTACTTTATGTTTTCACTGTTTTGCCCCCAGGTTCCAGCATTTGAAGGTGATGATGGATTCTGTGTGTTTGAGAGCAACGCCATTGCCTACTATGGTAATTTACAGGCACTTATGGGAATGGGAGGGTGTGGAGGTGAGGGTGTAGGAGAGGATGCGGGTGAGCTGGAGTGGACAAGGAAGAATTCTTGGGAACCTAGACTTATGTTGGCATGATCCCAAAGTTCTGCTCTTTGTGTTCTGCCTCTGCAGTGAGCAATGAGGAGCTGCGGGGAAGTACTCCAGAGGCGGCCGCCCAGGTGGTGCAGTGGGTGAGCTTTGCCGATAGTGACATAGTGCCCCCAGCCAGCACTTGGGTGTTCCCCACCTTGGGCATCATGCATCACAACAAGCAGGTGAGCCTCGGAACTTGGGGAGAAGCAGGAGCAGGGTTGGCATCAGCTTCTGCATGCTGGGGAGTAAGAAATACAATAGGCTGAGAAAGCAAAGTACCACAGATGTGTGGGCAATGAGGAAACGTAGGCTTTGGAGTATACATGTGGGACAGTGGGTGCTGGTATCTGGCTTTTTTTTTTTTTTTTTTTTTTGTCAGTGGAAGTGTTATCTGTCATAAGAGATCAGAGGAGAGATTTCTGTTGTAGGAAGTTTACCAAGTTGTAGAAGAGTTAAACCAGATGACGTCCAAGATTCCATCTACTTATCCAAAGATAAATGAGTACCATCATTACTGTGGAAATGAAGCCAGACTGCCATAAAGAAATTTAACCATGGAGAGCTTTGTGATTTGGAATCATCTTAGAATCTGACTCCATTGAAAGAGGGCTGGTCTGGGTGAGCCAGACTCAATTCAGTGAAGCAGCTTTTTTTAGTTCTGTGGAGGGTTGAGGGAAGGGAATTGCTTCCCACTGAGAAGTTTGATGATTTCAAATCAATAGGCCACTGAGAATGCAAAGGAAGAGGTGAAGCGGATTCTGGGGCTGCTGGATGCTCACTTGAAGACGAGGACTTTCCTGGTGGGCGAGCGAGTGACACTGGCTGACATCACAGTTGTCTGCACCCTTTTGTGGCTCTATAAACAGGTGAAGTATGTAAAGTACTGGTTTGGAGTAGGTGGGCACTCAAAGTAATGGACCTTCCAGGTTACCCTGAATTCTGTATTTTGCCAAGGGCTTGCCTACAGGGGAGTCTGAGATAGCAGTTAGTCTGAGGAATCCTTGTTGGACTCCCAGAATATCCCAAGTAGTATCAAGTTTGTTTGTGTTTGTTTTTGTTTTGTTTTTATTTGCTTGAAAGGCAGAGTGACAGAGAGAACTCTTTCATCCTCTGGTTCACTTCTCAAAAGGGTGCAACATCCAGGGCTGGGCCGGACTGAAGCAAGGAACCAGAAACCCCATCTGGGCCTCGCATATGGTGGTGGGAACCCAAGTAGTTGGGCAGTCTTTTTGCTGCCTTCCCAGGTGTGTTGGGAAGCTGGAACTAGAATAGGAACTAGCAGCTTAACCCACTGTGCCACAATGCTAGCCTCTTGTTTTAAGACTTTTTTTTTAAAGAGTGTTTTTGTTTATCTTCATTTGACAGAGATATTGCATCTAGTGGCTTACTCCCCAAATACCTGCAACAGACTGAGCTGGGCCAGGCTGAAACCAACAGCCTGGAACTCAGTCTGGATCTTTAAGTGGATGTCAGGGGCTTAGTTACTTAGTCCATCATCTGCTTCCCAGGTGTGCGTTAACAGGAAGCTGGAATCAGGAAGAGATCTGGTGGGGCACAGCAGGTTACACCTTGGCCTGAAGTGCTGGCATCCCATATGGGCGCCAGTTCTAGTCCTGGCTGCTCCTCTTCCTATCTAGCTCTCTGCTGTGGCCTGGGAAAGCAGTAGAAGATGACCCAAGTCCTTGGGCCCCTGCACCCATGTGGAAGACCCTGAAGAAGCTCCTGGCTCCTGGCTTCGGATCAGCATAGCTCTGACTGTTGCAACCAACTGGGGAGTGAACCAGTGGATGGAAGACCTCTCTCTGTTAACTCTGACTTTCAAATAAATAAATAGACCTTTAAAAAAAAAAGTCGCCGGC